GTTGTGTGTGACGCGTATTCGTGCAATCGCAGAAAGTCGGGCCTACACACCAAAAAACGAGAACGTGCTACTAAAAGCTGATTTTTTTAAAAATTTCACAGCCTAAGGTCTTGGAGGTGAAGCGGGAGGGGTCGTTTTGGAAGGACTTGTTGCCTGACTTCTTGCTCAAACGTGTTTGTGACTGGAAGAGCCGCAGAGAAAACAAGCGCGAGAGTTACGAGGAAAGAGGAGTGAGGAGCAGTACACATCCTGCACAATCTCGGCGCACTGCGCGGATGGCCTTCGTACACATTCCGATGAACAGGCTCAATTTAGGCACTCAAATTTGCCATATTACGCTTAATGCAATCATCTTATATATAAAGCTGAATGTCTGTTTGTCTGTATGTCTGTATGTCTGTCTGTCTGTACGTATCTTCCGAATAGAAAATTCCATTTCTGAACAGATCCGGACCAAACTTGGCACACATACACTTCGGGCCCCGGCGGGTGTCATAGGCTACTTTTCGTCATCGATCGATATCGATCTTATCGATTTTTATCGATTTTTTTGTAGAGTTCACCTACGGGGCTGGGAGTTGGCACAGGGGGGGGGGTAATCGAGCATGGGGGTTCCGAATACAGTATTAGTTTTCAGGATTATCAGTTACTTTTATCGATTTTATCGACTTTTTTGCAAAGTTTGAGCTACGTGGCTGGGAGTAGGCAACAGGGGCAGGTGAGCATGCTGATTCCGAGTACAATGCTGACTACAATATTAGTTTTCAGGATTATCGATTACTTTTGTCGATTTTATCGATTGTTTTGCAAAGTTTGAGCTACGGGGCTGGGAGTTTGCACAGGGGGGTAATCGAGCATGCTGACTACGATTACAATATTAGTTTTTGAAATCGTCCATTATTTTTATCGTTTTTATCGACTTTTTTGCCAAGTTTGAGCTACGGGCTGGGGGTTGTTGAGGGAGGTAGGTGGGCATGTTAATTACTAACACAGGGGGAATAGGGAGTTGCATGTAGAAGTGGGCACAATGAAAGGTTCTATAAGGATAGGGATAAGAGCTTAATCATAGAATTGACAGGGCCGGGCGGAGCCGGGTAAGCCAGCTAGTAGGCAATATTATAGTAATCAAAGCTTCGCTCTATTACCTACCAAGCTGTCCCCAACAACGTTCCACATATAGAGTTAGCCTTTTAGAAATTGTGTCTACCGTAAAGGAAGAGCCAGACGAAGATTTAAAAGCAATTAAACTTGATTGATTGTTAGGTAAGAGTCTTGCACAAAAATTGAGTGTAGTTTGCTAGGCTCCGTCTGAAGTGCCGAAGCCTTAGAGATGATAGAATCTCCCTCACTGGAATCTTTTATGTTTGTTGTGCGCTGCGTTACATCTTTGCGCAGAACCTCCGCAGAAAACTGGAAACGGAACATTGAGGACAAGCGGTATTTCAAAAGATTCGCCTTGATGAGTTGAGCAGAATTCTTTTTTCAATTAGGAATATATTCATTCCGAAGGAAGTTATGACGCTGCGTAGTTCGCGTGACTCGCTTGACTCAGCGAAATTCTCAGAATGTCCGTATTCCCGGAATGTTCGGAAAATTCTCAGAATGTCCGTATTTCCCAGTATTCCCGAAATGTCACGGAATTCTGGGAATTTTGCAGAAGTTCATGACACTCACGGGAATCTTGCGCGTTCTGTGAGCTCTACTGTATAAGCACTAAGGCGTCCATATACAAAGCATTACCTGAATCATACGACTTTCAAGTTACTCGTAAGTGAAAATCGGTCTATCATTATTTGAAACAGGCGTTTTTATCAAACACTCAGCAGATATCAAAATCGATTCTAATCAGCCCCACTAGGCACTCGAGATTTTACGGCTTATAGAACTTTTTTGATGACAGGATTTGTTGACAAGTGTTTTGCTGAGAAGATTATTTTATGTCTCTGACACTTTATAAAAAGTGACTGCTCTTCCCATTCCCTCGTGTTCTTGGCGGATAGATTCGGTTGCCATGGCCATGTTCTATCATATACAGTCGCTTCATTTCGTATGATCATGTGCGCCATTGCACACACAATCCACTTTGGCGTCCTCATCCTGGATTTGCAATCGCAAAAACGCAAGAGACTTACCGATTGTTATCGATTACATCAATTTGAGGTGACTAGTAACTAAAAAGGAATGAAAATGCTAAGAACACCTTGGAAACACTTATATGAAGGCTTGTTTTTCCCACGAATCCAGGATGGGGACGCCAAAGGTGAATTGTTTGTGCAATGACACACATGATCATATGAAATGAAGCGACTGTAAGTGCTGTAAAAATCCGGCCGACCCAAAACTGCCAGTTTGCGATCGCCTTGGTTGACATTGACATCTAACAGCGTCGTTGAGTTTTCCGACTAACTGGATGAGGATTCCATTTATAGTACCACTTATATACACATAAATTATGCTTGAGTGTCTCATAATATGTGCTTTCCATCGCTTAGGCTTCAGAGGAAACCATGAATACGTGATGGGCAATCACATTTTCGAAGTGTCTCCTCTACTATATTACGGGTCAATTGATCTTTTGTAGCGCGATTTGATCATGGCGTTAGCATCTTATAATTTGCACAACATGATTGGATCCAAAGATGGATTCCGACCCAAAAAACCCAAGAACTTCCTACCTGCTCCGCAAGTACATAGTATTATAGATACACAAAACCAAAATATGAACTTCTTATATTTTTCGCAGCTAGAAATAAACTAAACGTAATACAAAGATGTCTTTTTTGGGCTCTTCACGCTGAGACTGATATTGCCTGCTACTCCTTTCCGCTCCGATAGATGTACAGTTCGTTTCAACCCGGAATAGGCGAAACTTTTGACGTGGAACAGCGCGTCTGCTCGCTGGAGGCTTTGCGAGCGCACGTCGCTGGCATTTTGCCAAGCAAAGAGTGAGGAGAATGAAGAGACGCAGACATGGGTTATTAGCACGATACGATGTACTATAGCTGCGAAACGGCGCGGACTGTTGCGAAGCGGGCTCCCGCCAGTCCAATTTCCGCCTAAACTGGGCTGGAGCTTACATGGGCTGCTGCATGACGAAGGCGCGATAGCTTGGGAGCGAACGCGACTTCATTAGCCGCAGAGCGCATGAGGCGCAGGATTTACAAGGAAGGGCACGCGCGCGCCGCGTTCGCACCCGTTCTACTAATATTGCTTCTGCGCCTTCGTCATGCAGTAGCCTTTAACATTAGCCTGAAGAAATTGTGGCTTTACGTAACTGAGCGGTAGAGTAGATAGAAAACTCAAAAGTGTTTTTCTTCTGGTTCAAAGTGTCATACACACTAGCCCAATGAGAACAATTCGTTCATAAGTGATTTCAACGTGCAATTATTATGCTGTTATTGAGTGTTAAAGTTAGTTAGTTGAAGCAAACTTTTGCGTCTCTTTATATGTTATGGTCCCAATCTTTGAGTTTTCTCTAAAGTTGTTTGAATTTTTGTCTTATGCTCAAACTAGATGGCAAACCCGGCTCCGCCCGGGACCAAACTTTGCACACATACACTTCGAAGCAGGGAGCGTGTCATAGTCCACTTTTCGTTATCGATCGATGTCGATCGAGCATGCTGATCACCCCTCCGGGGTGATCAGCATGCTCGATTACCCCCCTGTGCAAAATCCTAGCCCCCTAGCCCAAATTTTGCAAAAAATCGATAAAATCGATATCGATCGATAACGAAAAGTAGCCTATGACACGCTCCCTGCCCCGAAGTATATGTGTGCCAAGTTTGGTCCCGATCGGTTCAGAAATAAAAATTTCTATTCCGCACATACGTACAGACAGACATACATACAGACAGACATTCAGCTTTATATATAAGACTAGCTGGCTTACCCGGCTCCGCCGTATCCGGACCAAACTTGGCACACATACACTTCGGGCCCCGGCGGGTGTCACAGTCCACTTTTCGTTATCGATCGATGTCGATTTTACCGATTTTTATCGATTTTTTCGCAGAGTTCACCTACAGGGCTAGGAGTTGGCACAGGGGGGAAGTGAGCATGGGGATTCCGAATATAATACAATATTAGTTTTCAGAATTATCGGTTACTTTTATTGATTTTATCGATTTTTTGTAAATTTTGACATGCGAGGCTGGGATTTTGCCCCCTTGGGGATGATCAGCATGCTCGATTACCCCCCTGTGCCAACTCCCAGCCCCCTAGCTCAAACTTTGCAAAAAAATCGATAAAATCGATAAAAGTAATCGATAATCCCGAAAATCAATATTGTATTCGGAATCCCCATGCTCGATTACCCCCCTGTGCCAACTCCCAGCCCCGTAGCTCAAACTTTGCAAAAAAATCGATAAAATCGATAAAAATCGATAATCCTGAAAACCAATATTGTATTCGGAATCTCCATGCTCGATTACCCCCCTGTGCCGACTCCCAGCCCCGTAGGTGAACTCAGCAAAAAAATCGATAAAAATCGATAAAATCGATATCGATCGATGACGAAAAGTAGCCTATGACACCCGCCGGGGCCCGAAGTGTATGTGTGCCAAGTTTGGTCCGGATCGGTTCAGAAATGGAATTTTCTATTCGGAACATACGTACAGACAGACATACATACATACATACATACATACATACATACATACATACATACATACATACAAACAGACATTCAGCTTTATATATAAGATAAGGGGCTGGCAGAGCCAGCTGCAAACCTAAAGTGGTAATCTCGCTTTCTTCACCATGCTCTGCAACTTATCATGACCATTATTCGCAGAAGTGGCTGTATTGCTCTCTGACCACTCAAATATAATTATCGCGGACACTGGCAGATTCTCTTCCAAGTCAGGTATTCGAAGATAAAGGAACTTCAAAGTTGGGCACTGAGGCAAAACTCTGTTTTGAGCACTTCATCTATGTGTTCACAACCGTTGATTTCGAGGTATGCGACTCTGCTCTGTTTTTTTAAGTAAGGAAACGCGATTGATCACTTTACTTACAAATGTCTAGTGCCAATTTCCAAATCACATTAGAAAACTTTTACTTCTTTAGAGATAGTAACTATTATCACTCCTGCTACAGTCAGAAGGTAGGCACATGCGAGAATCAGCAGGTTCCGTCGTCCCTGAAACGTTAAATCGTTTCGAGATTTCTGGATAAACATAATCGTACAGTAATATAATACTTGAGCAGGGCTAGTCTAATGGTTCTCCATCACAATGTCGCGCTGAAGGTCACGGGTGCAATTCCACCCTCAGCCCAAATTCTGCGACAACGATTCTGCTCACAGTTTTGGCGTCAGACTGCCCTTCCAAAGAAGGTATGCTACAAACCGGCTAAGAAACACTTTGTCGCATCAACAGTTCAAGCATGTCTCATAAGGTATCTCGGGTAAAAGCTTGGGCGTCCCTTGAAAGTGACGCTTATCCGCCATAAATGCTAAGAGTGAACGAGGGATACCGTCGCGCAAGGTGAAAGAAACGATTCAAGCGGTTAGTTCAGTGGAGGCAAGAAAGAAGGCACGCAAGTTTCTCTAGCTACCATCGATGAGGGCGCACTTACTTCTTGTTGACTCGAAAGTTGACAAATCTTCTGCGCTGCAGAGACAGCAGTCGATGTAGTCTGCATATAAGAAGCAAGTGAAGCGGGGCACAGTCCCGCGACTTTGGAAAGGTTTTTCTTGAAGTAAGTTTGGAGTACGTCAAATTTCAGTCCTCTCTTCCTTCTCTTGGTCATTGTGATGAACGTTGTGATGGAACCACTCGTGAACATCTTTGGACACTTCTCTACGCAGGTTGTGTGGTTTTGAGAGATAGCAAGTACAGAAAGGAGTTGTAAGATTCAAAAAAGTCTAGAGTTGTATAGGTTGAAGCTCAACATCAGGGAGACGGAATACAGTGACCGCCAAATTGACCGCCATTTTAAAAATCTTTTTCTAAAAAAAAGTCCAAAAATGGCCGCGTCAAAATGTCGAGGACAGTAATTCTTCGAACGCGAAAATATTCTTTTAGATCTTCGTTTGAAACAAAAACAGTAGTTTTAAGGACAGATAAGCATACTTTATTATAGAGCTCATCGAGCACAATAACCAGGTAGTGATTACTTCCAAAAAACCCAAGCTTGAATTATTTTGCTTTTTTTAATACGTTTAGGACCGCGAAATCGCGCGCGGCGAAAAAGAGTGTACTTCCGGCCGTTAGCCATAAAGGGACCTTATTTCGCAGCCTGTGGGCCATATTTGTAACCAGCATGTCAGATAAGCTCCATACCCAAAGTCCTGAGTGAATTCCAAGTGTTTGAATTTTGTCGCTTGGGAGAGACTTTGTGCTTTCTTGAAAGATAGGAGAAAGAACTCCGTTTTAAATAGTATTCAAAAGTATCTATGATGTACACTGTACACATCATTATTGAAACCACGGTTTTTCCCTTTGAAATTGAAGCAAGGAAAAGTTGCGACGTCGCAGGCGTCGTTCGCGTTGCCGCACTTCGTTGCAACTCTTGTTCGTTTTGTCCTCATATCTCCTAAACAAATAAGCGCGGCACAGCTCTACAGAGTCATTTGAAAAGTAAGAGCTTAGACCTTTGACTTAACAACTTTGGACTAAAAGGAAACCTGCTGTAAACGCCAGAAAGACCCTTCAAAGCAGCGTGCTGCACCATGTGCAGCACCGGTCCGAAACGTGTTAAAGTAACATCTGATTCCATTTTCAAGCCAAATTTCTTCACATGAAAACATAATCAAGACATCCCAACAAAGCTGTTCGGATGTAATGGATGCTTCTTGCCACCCCTATGCATCGGATTTGTGCTGGTGAGTTTCTTTGTTGAAAATGCCTCTTCACAGTGCGTGCACATGACCCCACCTATACCTCACAACTGACTTGCACCGCTTTGCAGGCTTACTTGGCCGGCAGTCATTCTACGAGTCTGCGAGTAGGCTCATTCGAAAGGGCGTGACTTCCTGGACAAGAAGGTATGCAAACAAGTTGTATTTGGAGAGTCCCGGAGATTTTACGGATAGGGTGAAAAAGCGCAGCTTCTGTGGTTGATAAGGATTTTTAGCTAAAGTTGAGCAAAGCTCCTTTCGCCACCGACTCCATCCTGGAAGTTCAAAACTGTCAATTTTCTTGTAATACTCAGACAATCAAAGGCTATGGTGAGGCGGCGATAAATAGCAGTTTCACTGAGCGGGCGGCGATACTACAAAAGTGGCAGTGAGGGGGCGACGTCATTGTAGGAATGGCGGTGAGCGGGCAGCGACGGGCTACCAGCGAGCAGCTATAATCTTACATGAGTCAGAAAATAGCTGCAGAGCACATTCATTCCTACAAAAGCAGCCAAAAGGCGACGATGAGGCAGCGACTCCGTTAAGCTGGCAGCGACCGTGAAACGATGGGGATGCGAATACAGGATTTCTGTCAGCGGGCCGCATCAATGCTGTGAGAAGGAAGCCTTAATTCATAACGCTGTATTGTGGCTGCCAACTGGAAGCCATATCGTTGCCCTCTCGAGACATTGTTGATCGCAACAGAAAAGTTAGATTTGCAGGCAAACGAGATTGGCAGTTTAGGCTTGCGTCATTTTTTCATTTCTTGTTGCCTAATCTTTGTTTTCAATATACAATGTTACTCGCGCTGTACTCTCTTTACTTGTCTTCCTAGGCTCATGTAATATCACTTTTATTGGCCGGTCAATATAAAAATATGATTTCTATGATTTTTGCTTGCTTTATTTCGGTCTTTCGTCATTCAGCTCCATGTTTATTTTTGTCTGACTGGCTCAAACGCTTTATCCAAGTTTTGCACGTGGGGCTCATCCTGTTGGATGGCAAATTCGTCCAATGCGGTTCCTGTGAAGGTGGGATTTCTCCAAGCCTTTTAGAGCACTCCTTATTAGCCCACTACCCACTTTTCGCAATTCGCACGACCTGTCACCACATTACAACCGCAGAACGTGAGTTACATTCTCTACAGAATTCCATTCCGCTCGTACATCATAATTGCAAAGTTTTTCAGAAGCGTATCTTTGAGAGGGGCCCATCCCAACCATCGCCGTCATCGGTGGCACAGTTTCCAAGTGTGCCCAATGGTCCAGTGAGTATTTGCATTTGATCCTTTCTGATTTTTTGTTTTCAAAAAGCAAAAAATGATTTACTATGTCCCTAAGTATTATTTTTAATGCCTTTTGAACACCACAAATACTTACTTGCATGCCTGACATGATTTCTTGTCATTGTGACCTAGCGTGAAGCGTAAATAGGCTATCGAAGGCTGTTTGAAGGATGGCTTTGGCATCATGTGCAACAAAATGTGTTTGCTGCACGTGAACTATAGCAATCGTTCGCATATCTGTCGACTATTGACTTTCATAAGCATTACAAGTCAGCTTTTAGAAACGAAGAAAACCAGAAGTGCAAGGGGGAACACAAGACCTAACGAGGTTTTAAACACGACGCAACAAAATCCCGGAAACCGACACCAATTTTTCAGTTATCCACTTTTGAGTGGCTTTAGATTTCAATCTTACGATATCTCTCTGATTCATTTTCTCATAACTTATCTTAACTTTACCAGTATACATGTCTATCTTAGTGCATAACAATATTAGTAATTGTCTATCTCATCTCATTCTATCTCATTCCATTATATGCCTTTACGATTCCAACACAGCTGGTGCTCTCTACGCGTAATATCTGCCTTCCAATCTGCCTTAATCTGAAGTGATCTGAAGTTTGATTGATTTTCTGATATATAATATGTTATGGCATCATACGCACCGTTACACTTCAGATCAAGTCAAATCATCATCAGATGAAAATCTAGTAATGATTCGATTTGCTCTGGACTGTAACGGTGCGTATGATGCCATAGCATCTCTTTCATTCATCTCATATTTATTTCTCCATGTGGTCATATCTCCAGATGGTTATGTTCTTCATTGTTACTTGTCATCGTTATAATGAATTAAATCTCAGACAATCACAGGCTCTCAGCCGGCAGCCACAAAGCCACCGCGCTTTTGATGGGTTTTCGCGGTGGCTTTGTGGCCGCCGGCTGAGAGCCTGTGATTGTCTGAGTTGAAGTTACAGCGTTGTAGTCCAAGCGTAACAAGAAGCTACACAGACAACATTTTCAGCCGGCAGCCACAAAGCCACCGCGAAAACCCACCAAAAGCTCTGTGCCTTACCGCCTCACTGTCGCTTCCCGCTGAAAACTGTAGAAGCGAGCGGGCTACAAATATGGCACTGAGCGGAAGGATAAAGCTGGCAGCGGGCGGACTGCTATGAGGGCTTCAGCGGGAAGCGAAAGTGGCCGCGGTAAGGCCACGGCGCTTTTGGTGGGTTTTCGCGGTGGCTTTGTGGCTGCCGGCTGAGAGTCTGTGATTGTCTGAGTAGGTATATTCCGGAGCTTTAAGATTGTTCTAGTGTTGATAACAGCCTTCACTCCATTCACATCCAAGGCTGCGCTTTTTCACCCTATCCGCGAAATCTCCGGGACCCCCAAACTCAACTTATTTGCATACCATCATGTCGAGGAAGTCATGCTCTTTCGAATGAGCCTACAAGCAGGTTCGTAGAATGACAGCTGGTTGAGCTACAAGCTTGGAAAGCTTTGCCAAAGTGGTGAGGTGCAGGTGGGGTCATGTGCGTGCACTGTCAAGAGCCATTTTCAGCAGAGAAATTCACCAGCACACGTCTGATGCATAGAAGATGACGGAGAGCATCCATTTTATCTTAATAGCTTTGTTGGAATGTCTTGAATAGGTTTTCATGTGAAGAAATTTGGCTTGAAAAAGGTTATTCAGAAGTTATTTTTTGGAGAAAATTCTGTCTTTGCCCTAAACAAAGACCTAAAGAAAATTCTCGCGTTCGAAAAATTATTGTCCGCGACATTATGACGAGGCCATTTTCGGACTTACTCTGGGAAAAGATTGTTAAAATTTTTAAATTACATATTTCCTAGAAAACGCAATGTGTTGATTGTAGCTCTTGAAGAGCTCTATCACACCATGCAACCCAATCATTTTCTCATCTTTGTTTTCCATCCGAAAATGAGCGATGAAAAAAGGAAGGCTGCTTGTCCGCAACTTTTTGGCGGTTACTGTATATGAAAGTGGGGAGACAAAATTCAGGTATCATGAGCATCAATGGTGAAGAGCTGAAGAAGAGAACGTTATACAAACACCTAGGCCGCCACATCTCAGCGGAAGGAGGCCTTCAAGAGCAGGATGAACACAGCGTAGGTGAATGGAGAACCCTAACATCAGTTTCGTGCGAGTAAAGTATGTCAGTGCATCTCGAGTCAAGACGAACCGCACCATCACCCCAGCAGCACTGTATAGCAGTGAGTGCCGGCCATGTACGCGAAAAGGAGCGCAATTTTAATGTCACGGAAAAAGTGTGCTGAGGACTTTAGGCAGGACACTGAAAGACCATACACTATAGGAGCCCAAATAACAGTAGCTTTAATCGCATAGAAAATGCAAGACAAGAGATCACAGTGGAGGGAGGAAAGCCAATCAAAGGTTGGCCTTAACGGTGGAGGCACCAGGTAAAAAACTCAGGAGGAGACCTAGCAAAGTGCATGGACAGGATCAAGGCTGTCCTTCGTGAGCTTGGAATAAATGAAGCCTTACTACAGGCAGAAAACATGAAGACGCCTGAAAAGAAAAGCAGACCCTGCATAAGTGGAACTCATGCGAGGATAAAAAATATTGGAATTGTTTTGTTTCAACAAAAAAAAACCAACAGGACAGCAAACTCAAACGTTACTTATATGGGGGCATCTGACTACTCAGCAACGCGTTGCCGTTCCCCACGCACATCCCTTAGAGGAAGTGTTCAGGCAAGAAGTCGATTTTGAGATTATTTGCTTTACTGGGCCTATTTGCTTGCTGAATCCGAAAATCCACACGGGAGAGCGCGAAAACGGAGAAAAAAAAGCTCCCACGCAGCAGGATTTCCTCATGCCAAACGTTCGCTCTCGGCCGGTGGTGATGTTAGGGCGCTGCTGGAAGCAAGATCGCTCTGGAAGCTGGGTGTGTGACATCACAGAGTGGAAGACCCGCCCATCTGCTGGCTTCCCTCTTGCGTTGGAGCCTTTTTCGACGTTTTCGCGCTCTGTAGTGTGGATTTACGCAAATAGTATAGCGATTACACCCAGGTAAGCAAAAGTGCTCAGCCTTTGCCTTTAAAGTGGCGGCAAAGAAGTCTGACGGAATTTCCTGAACATCTTCGAAAACTGCGCAGCACTACCGTAGAGTCATTGAGCAGAAGAATACCTTTTAGTAAAAAGGGAAGAATAAGACGGTTTAAAGCTCATAATCTGCGATTTGCGGAAGTGGAACTTGAGAAATGCTGCAGGATAGAGCGCACTGAAAGGGTGGGATTAATTGAAGAAGAAATAACTTACAATCTTCCCGTTTCACACTGCTCGTAGATTTTACCTTCTCACTTAGGCCCGTATGCACGAACACTAGCGTGAGCGAGCGGACGTCGCGAACAACTGTCGGCGTCCATTCACTATATTCCAGGAAATACTTCTTTAACTTTCATGTTGTTCTCGTCAATGCAAGGTATATCTTGACGAAAGTCCCCTTCACAAGTTTAGAAAAATATATGTGAAAAGAGTGCGCGCTCATTGTCGCTCGCAAAAAGCCTGTAGCGCTTCGGGACCAAACGTTTCCAGGCGCGCGTTGGTGTTCAAAGCGACGCGTGGGCAATTGGATTTCATGGGGCCTGTACATTCCCAGAGGAGGGGAGGGGATCTGACAAGGGATGGTCATATCTCGTTCCTCTTTTTATCTGTTTTATTCTTTCTCTATCTATCTCATGCAGGTTTACATACTCTAATATCTGAGTATAGTAGATGATAACGTTGGCATACAAGTTGAAAAATCCACTGTTCTATGTGGTCCCTGCGAATCCCCAGGGATCACTTCACATTTTCAAAGTCATTTATCTTTCCATAAACTCAATGAAAATGCAGTAAAGTTGTACCGAGGATATACTATGGCGCTGCTAAACGTTTTTATAGAAGAAATCAGTGAAATCTCAGGATATCGAAAAGTTCGATGAACCGCTGTTAAGGGTTCCTTCATTCTACACCGCAGGACGCGTCCTGCGGCGTGCGCCGCTGCAGTCGCAGTGAAAATATAAACTCGCTCGCTGTGAAGGAACCTCTGGGAAAACACGAACGTTCAGCAAAATCCATAACCGGCGAAGCTGTCCTGCCGTGAGCGTATATTTCACTGCTAGCAGCGCACGCAAGATGCGGCGTGCTGCAGCATGCAGCCGCGTGCTGCGGTGTGCTGCAGCGTAGTATGAAGGAACCCTTAACGAGCTAGGGATTATCGAAGAATTAGTAAACTTCAGATTCCACTTCTTTTGTCGAAAACATGTTTAGCAATGCCGTAGTATATTTTCATTCTCAGTACTATTTTACAGCGTTTTAATTAAGTTTTCAGGAAGATAACTAACTTTGAAAATGAGAGGTGATCCCCTGTGGATCCCCAGAGGACACAAGATAGCGAAAATCTAATCTTCTGTGGCAGAAACCTGCCATTTACCAGGTGCAATTATCAGGGTAAGAGAATCTCCATAAGCCAGATAGAGAAAGAAGAAGGATATCTAAAGTAGCGAGATATGAGGTGTACGTGCACACGGGCCTTAAAGCGTTTGGTTCGGTGACTGTCCCTTCACCCTTCGCAGCAGCGGTTGAGTAGTTTCACGTTTTACAGCACAGAACAGCATAAATCTCGTAAATATTCGGAGTCAACTATGCATTTCAGATGGTACGTTGTATAAACTGTTACAAACTCTATACTTACAAAATATCAAAACCTGTTACACATATAATTAATCTTATAAAGGGTTCGGTTGAACAAGAATAATAATTTCAGACCTGCGTTAACTAACCGATATTGACGCTATAAATGGCGTTCATATGTATTTGGTTTAGGAAGCTATTGAAATGTCTGGGAAAAAAGAACAGGACCCGGCACGAGGTTGGCGAATGACAAGCTGGAATTCGTTTTCGGCAAAGAAAGCAAAGGGGAAATCGTTTTTGCGAGGTCCGGGGCGAAGCCCCTGAAAAAACTGGCAGTTTATGCCCTCTGCTTATCTTAACGTATTATGTGCCTCAACAGGCAAACACTGGAGTTCGCACGCGTCAAACAGCGCTATCGCTAATTGACGCACGCGCGACGTCGCTACCGATGCTATTTGCGCAGCATACATGACTAGTTTTCAATGTATGCGAAACGATACGGCATTAAATTTCGTAAGCGAATGAAGAAAGGTTAGTGGAGACAAAGTATGAAAGACTATGGAGAACTTATGGAATGGGAGGTGCAATAAGCGTTTCTTGCAAAAATTTTGCATAATTGGTGAGTGAAGATATGAATTCAAATGACTCGTTTGCAACCCACAGAAGACGATATGGTATGAAACTTGGTACGTACATGCACACGGGCCTGCAGGGCTTAAGTAAAAAGTATCAATGAAAATTATATGACTGAAGGTAGTGGAAAACTTTTTTCTGAAAATTTCCCGCTAAAAATGGCTCGTTTGCAACGCACAGGTGACGAAATTGCGTGGAGTTTGGTGCCTATATGCGCAGTAGGACTAAGGAACAAAGCATGAAAAATTATGAAAAATTTGTGTGAATGAGGAGCGTACCCAAATTTTTTCCAAATTAGGTTGCCAGTTGACAACCTAATGGCAACCTGAGGTTGGCAAAACTTCCAATTCACATAATTTTTTCAAAATTTTTACATAAATCTGCTCTACACCTAAAGCTTAGTATATATTGACATTTTGGTTTCAAACCTCCTCCTCTCCTCATTGCTAGAGCCAAAAACAGCTTCAGCAGCCCCGTTTCCAAAGGAGGAAACCGCGCTCCAATCGATATGCGTGAGGCGTTTCTACCTCTCAACTGGTGCCGGGATCCACAAGATGTTTTATCATTATGTGTTGAGCTTTTTCAAATGTTGACTTCATTGTAGATTTCCGGAATGATCACCGCATTTGTTTTCGATAATGTTGTCGATAAAGTTTCTGGATAGACTTTTTTGATGAAATATTTTTTTTTCATGGTAAACTATTCGCCGCACAAGCACAAGAACCGGTTTTTGGTTCAGAGGTGTATTCGTAAAGTATTTTTGGAGTCAAAGGGGAATCCGTTTTCGAAAACCCCTTCTGCCAATTTCGTGCTGGGCTTTGAGAAAGAAATATGTGGAGGTATAACAAAGAGGGTGAAAAGGGCCTTGCCTATACAGTACCAAACAGATTTCTTTAGCAGACACTATAGGAGACGGTAATGTTTGAATCTGCGCTTCTCACATATTTTCTACCCTGTCCCTATACGATAACAAGCTTTTTTTCCAAAACTCTCCATAAATAAAGAGACGGAATAGAACTTACCATGATTTCCCTGTAGTATAGCAAACTCCACGTGGAAACTACTAGGCCAGGTGCCATCTGGCCTATAGGATAGGCAATGGCAGCATCCAGTTTGTCAATAGCCACTACGAATGCAGACATAGCGCAACCGTAACAGAGACCAGTAGAGAGCGCAGGAATTATTGCATTTGAACTGACCCATGGACGATTGCGCCTGAAAAGATCTAAAGTAATGCTTAGCAGCAGTGCGAGCATTTCTCACCTCATAATCGCATAAATGACAAAAATACATACGGAGGTAGATAATATCCCACAAGTGTATGAAAATAAGTAGTGTAGTGGGTTAGTTGGCGCGCCCGGAAACTTTTCAGGGTGGCTCTGTAAATAAGCATATTTACATAAGGTTTCCTATAATATTTTTTCCCAGAAGAATCGACTTTTTTGACATAATCGCGTGGAACATTGTCCACAGATTGTAGAAAAAAGCGTTTTTTAATCACATTGCTTTTCAACTTATTCAACTAATTAGAATTTACGAAAAATTTATACAGGTAGTCTATATACCACAGGCGACCATACATCGACAAGCCGTACAGTTTTTTGAAGCTTACCATCATGTAGTTTACTGGAAGCCACATCGTGCCGTAGAAGAGACCAGAAGCCATTGCGCCAATAACGCTTCTGAGATTACGAAAGAGCGTAAGAAGCATATAATCTTTGGATTCGGATATATTAGAAAATCGAGAATTTTCTCAAATTACCATGCAAAAAACTCACATGATCCTTTCAATCAGTGAGATATCTTTGACGGTAGATGGTTCTCCCTCTTCAGGCTTTTCTTTTCCTTCTGAGGTCGGTAGAGTTGTCTCAAAACACAGCAATTAAACCAAACCCATGCATTGCGACAATTATTTCCAGGCCTTTCATCCTATGATTTTGTATGGTGATGCTTTTTCTACGTTTCCTAATTCAAACGTACATCTTCTCATATTGTTTCGAACTAAAACCTACTCACATCGCAAAATTTGGGTGATTGACTACACTACAAAAGATAGTATTGCTTCCACGATTCACTCGGTTTCACTTCTTTGTCTATAGTCCCGATCATATTCAATTCTTGCGAATTTCATTCGACGCGATCTGACAGGGTCTGCCACATGTCCTCAAATCCAATATCCGCAGACTCCAAATGCACGGCGTGTACAGCTTTTGTAGATCAACAAAATTCTTATATATTCTTCATTCAGAACAATGCTTAGGCAATTGAAAATGAGTGCTGTATGCCTAAAGCTCTGCTTTCCAGTGATGAATGTTAATCTAACAATAAGAGCAAAGTTGATTGTGATATGTTGTTTCAGATATATACTACGTCATCGACACTGCCCACGAGATCGAACGGCTCTTCTATTTTTCCACCTCACGAAAATTACAGAACAGTACAACGGTATCCGACTGCAGAGCGGTGCAGGAAAGTATTAAAAAAGGATAAGAGTTTGAGGCAAAGAATATTACAATGGTTGGAGCTGCGGAAGTCGGAAGAAAGCAATGATGCCACTTTGAATTCCTTGGAATAGTCAGCTTTTCGCTGCCACATTTTGCATGGCGATTGTAATAGAGAGGGTCACCACGATAGAAGTGGAGTCGACACAATAGTCTTTACTTACTAGCTCTGAAAAGCTGAGCAAAGGGATTATTAATGACTAGAAAGAAGGTAAGAATGCTGGGACACATTTACATGTAATCTAAGGTGTTCGAAAAGCAGTAGAGTAGTCCAATTCTCCACTATTTTAAAACATTAAGATAATGTGTTTCACCAAAGCAACCAAGCGACAGTTCAAGTGTCGCTCGTATAAGATCTTCGCCTATCCTGCGGCGTGTTGCTGCCAGGGTCAGCGTGGGGTGTGGCGCGCCACACCTGGGGGTCGTTCTGTGATGGTCAGGAAAGGGGGGCCGTTATAAAGGTTATACTAATGTTAGCTATAACATGATATTCGTCAAAAATATCAGACAGCTCATTATCTACTTCAATGGTTTAAGCATTAACTTTACGATCAGCGTGACAAATAACCCCTTGTGGAGCAAATTTCAGCGAATTTTGAGGTTTGCAAATACTAGACCAGCCAGCTGGATGGTCAATTTCGAACATGTCAACTTTGTTTCAAAGATGAGTTAAGTTCTTTCTTTGGCACTTACAAAGAACTACTAGTTCCTTGTACACATTAGGAATCCTACTCCAAATATACTAAAACAATGGAGTTAAGAGCAAGCCAAGGATCTTATTAATCCCAATTCGCTTTCAATATCTCAGATTAGAGAAGACCAATTAAGCTTAAATCACTTTTGTGAGAATCACGAGGTTTAACTATCGAATATGTTTATTCTTGCCACCTTTCCCCACAGTTCTTTAATAAGACAGACAGCATGTTACCGCAACCCATTATTTTCGCAGTTCCAATTGCATAAGAAAGGAAAACAACTATATCTTTCCCTAGTAGAAACGATTCTGAATGAAATTTCCGCTATATAGAAAATAGGTTCTGCAGTAGCAACGATATGAAAAACTTAGATCTTCGAATGCTCTGGGGTAATGGCAGGGCTCGGCACAGGTGGCTTACAGGGCAAGCTGGATATCGTTTTGGAGGTAAAAATCAAAGGAGATATCGTTTTTGCGGAAGAGCATACCGCTGTCTTTCGATCGCTGCCGGCACGCTGCCGGCATGCCGGCAGCGTGGTCTCCCAAGCAAACAAACGGCTTGTTTACCGTGAAATGAAAATGAAATGACACGAGAATGGGTGTATAGATGGGCAATGGGGGGATAGTACTATGTGCAGAAAATTATGAAAAAGTTATGTGAATTAGAGTCGCGGCAAACTTTTTTTGGAGTTAGGTGGCTTTACAGCCATCTGGACATCCACCTGAGGTGGCTGTAAAGAAAAAGTCATATATTCTCCTTCCTTCACATAATTTTCTCACATGTCTAACATAGCCTTGTTCTACATCAAAATCCACACAACTGAGTTTTTGAATCTCCCAGAATTCCCTCTTCCTCGCCTAGTTACAACCCTTCAAATATTTTATATGGCGGCGGCAAACTTGCTCCAAGCGCGCAAGGGTGCGCGTCGGACACAGCATGTCGCCAATTCGGAGAAAATGAACATCTTTGGTTTTTTCGTCTGTTCGAAGTTGTTTTATGTTTTGTTCCATTACTTTTATTGTTCGATTTGATCCTTTCGCGATCGCGTCATAGGTGATGTCGTATTTTCCTGCCGAAGTCTGCAGGGACTTCGTTTTTGAATAAATGAAAAAGCCACCTCATGCCGAGCCCTGGGAAGTGTTGGCACAACCGTAAAAAGGTGTGGCAGCCACACTTTTCTGAGATTGTGCCACATCCCATCAACTTACTTCCAAGGAGAATTTCTGCGAAAAAACATATATGGTTTGATAGCAAAAATTTCCTACTTTTTGTGAAATGATTGGAGCTGAATTCATCTCCTTTTCATTTGAGCAGTAGTTGTTAGAAGGACAACCTGCAAGCGAAAGATGGAAACGAGACCCTGGCTGGCCCTAATTCCACAGTTTGAGTTGTATTGAGTGCAAAAAGAGGTAGCTAATTTACTGTAGAGATATAATTAACAATGTTTGAAAATAACCTCTTCACTTGAGTGGCCCAATATTGAGAACCCTCAGAATTCGCTAAGTTTGGTAGAGCCTTAAATGACATGCCTACGGGGGCGAATGAACTGGGGGGGGGGGAGGAGTTATAAGCAGGGCCCGGCAGGGGGTGGCATTTCAGAATTTTGAAAACGATATCCCCTTTGAAGCCAAAATTTCTTACGACTTCCCCTTTGACCCTATTTTTGACCCCCGTAAGTCCCTGACAAACAGATATACACAAATAATAAGATGGGCGGCCTCAGCGCTTATTATAGTAGTACCACCTGGCTTTCCTGGTCCAGCCCGGGTCACCGTTTGAGGGGATGGCCAAAAACCACACTTTGTCCTTCTACCTTCCCGTCCTTTTGGGCCATATTCTCCACCCCTTTTCTGCAGTATCAATACTGCACTGCAGCCCTCCCCCTTACCCTCCTGCACGAGCTTATCCCAGAAAGGCTTATTGGAGTGACTGCACCTTCTAATTTTAAAGTGGAAATGAACTTCACTGCATTGTTCACACCAGAATGTGCAAACAGTTTGTTAGCGGTTGATAAGTGTTCACTTTCCTTGCAAGGTGCCAAAAATCATTGAATTGATAGAAGAATTCCACGAATTGCTTCGAAGGGTAGCTTAAAACCATCTACCGAGGCCGAAAACATACGTTTTCAAGGTTTCAGCTCAATGGGTTCATCCGCAAAGGAATCTATAAAAAAACATAGGGTCAAGATTTGCACAAATTTTGACGTTTATATATCATGATACTACTCGTTTATTAATCAGCTGCGAAACTTTACAATTTACAATAACCGATTGCGATTGGAGTGCGCTTTCCGAGGCCGATCATAATGCTGTGAACCCTATTCGGGGCTGTATCGAAGCGGTGCCTTGGTGGTTTTAGCAGCGGATTTGAACATATAGTAATACTCTCGACCTAGTCCACATTTATGTAAAGAAATCCGGGAAATTATGTGAAGAGAAGCAGGGAGCCACCCCAGGTTGCTCCCAGGTGGCGCGGGAGCCACCTAATTTCGAAAAACACTTACCATTCTTTAAATTCACATAAGTTTCTCATAATTCTTCATACTTTTTTTGTGCTCATGGTCCTCCAGCTATACAGCAAATTTGGTGCCATATCGTTACTTGTGCATTGAAAACGAGCCTATTTTGTTATTTTCCTCTTACAAGAATTGCGATTTGAATTCCCGCCTGCGGGCAGGCTTGCGATCGGAGCACAGAATCTTCACATTGCTGGAATCTAAGTTCATAGCACAGTAGCATCAACAAGGAATGATGAATAAAGAATGATATGTGCATTGTTTATCGGTAATTTCGGGCCAAAAACGATATCCAGCTTGTGAAAGCGCCACCCCCGCCGGGCCCTGGTTATAAGCGGGGGTTGTGTGCCACGCCTCTTGCTCGACGCTGGTTGTCGCTCCTCTGCCGCGTCGTTGAAAGCACGCTTTGTAAATTTCTGAATGAGTTTTGTAGGCATTCTCTTATTATGCTGTCAAACAATAAAGTCGCTGAAGGTCTAGAGTTGTTTATAGCTTCGATTTGCGTCGTGATTGTGGTCATCTCTTCAGATGAAAGTTTTTTACAACCGGCCGCTGTTTGAAAGCTTCTTTCGACAAATCTGCCCAGTCGTTTCCAAACTCCCCCACCCATGGGGGGGGGATGCCGGGGAGATTTTTTCAAATGGTCAATTGATAAAAAAAAATCTCTCTATTCCTCGCTACAAATTTGATCTGTGTGGTTTCTTTGCAGTGAAAAACAAAAATCATTTTTCAGCCTAAAATTCTTCAGTATACTTTGGTCGAATTTTTTTTTCGAATAATAGAATAATCGAATATGCTCGAAAATCAAAAATTTCAAATAATCGAATTTCGAGTTTTTCTAAAAACAAAAAATGTCGACTATCCGAATTCCGAATATTTTCGACGTCAAAAATGACGAATAATCGACTAAATATTTTCGAAGTAGGAAAATTGTCGTATAATCGAATGACGAACACTTTCGAAATGGAAATAATTCGAATAATCGAATTTATTCGAGGAAAAATTTCGAACAAACGATTAATTTGCGACTATGTCGAACATTCGAACAAATTTTGATCGAATTAGCACAATGAAGGACTAGATGTAGTGGGCACAGGGCTCGGCACGAGCTGGCACCAGGGAAATTTCAAAACGAAGTCCCGTTTGATACTGAAAA